TCCTTGCCCAACTGGCCCACACCCTTTTTGGTTCTTACTGTTGGGTGTTACAGTCCAGCCATACCTGGTCTACACCCAGGCACAGCTCTTACCAGCAGGAGCCAAGTCCTAGCCAAGCATGTTCTATACCCACCCTGGCTTTCACAAGTATCAGTGGATGCTGGAGTCCAGCCCAGCCTGGCACTCTCCAGACACAGTCCATACACACGCTGAGGAAGACTTCAGCCATGTCCAGTCCAGCCTCAGGTCTTACACATGGCATTGGGGACCATGTTCACAGAGGTGAGCCTACATACATCCCCACAGATTGTGCCCCAGATGTTGCTTGTTGGTTAGTGTCATTGGCCAGCTGCACATTGCACATCCCCTGTTCTGGCTCTCGTTGATGGATACTGTGATACAACCCAGCCCTAGCTTCAGTGTGTACCAGTGAATGGTACTCGGTGGTGGTCAGTGTTAGCTACCTCAGCTCAGGTCTCATATTGTGTGCTGGTGTTTTTGTCTGACATTTAAAGGTCCTCTCATATTCTCCCCACACACACACTCCTAACCCCTCGGTCTCAGCCTGCTCACTTACCTGCCAGTAGAGTGACTTTATTGATGGAAGTTCTTCAGTAATCTTTCCTCACCAGGACATGAGCCCTAAGCTCCCCATTTGCTTTCACCTGTGTGCCACCACACAGCCTAAGGGCTTCAGGTTACATTGGCATCCTGGCAGTCCAACCCAGCGCCCCCTACCACCACACCTGCAGGGGCGGTCCAAGGCTTGCCCACCCCAGCCCTGCCACTGCATGGATAGTTCAGGGCCACCCGAGCTTCACCCTGCTGCCATCGTGGGCTGAATCAATTCTTTCAAATGTGATTTTCTTCTAATTCCTCTTTAATACTTTTACTTTTGCCATTCACATTAACTTTGGGCATTTTAATCTTTCCAGGGGTTCTTTTGGATCAGCAAAATCCAAGCCCCACTCTCTTGACATCAAATTATGCATAACATGACACTCTAAAATATGACACTTTGTCATACACATTATTTTCAGGAAAAGGCAATTGAGAGCCAACAGATTCAGAAAAGTCTCTTTACTTTCCCTCACTACCTAAAAACAGAGTTTCAGTTTCCCCCTTTTGTTTGTTTATTATTTTTTTGTTTAGCTTACATTTTTAAGGATTTTTTTTTGTGGCATATCTCACCCACAGCACCATCATGCCATGTCAGCACTGGTTCAGGATTTGACTTTCGCTTCCCATCCAGCTCTGTGCCTGAGAAAGCAGAAGAATATAAATTAAGTACTTGGGCTCCTCATCCGATAGGAGACCCAGAAGTCTGGGTCCTGGCTTTGGGGATAAAATTTGGACCGTGAACCAACAGATGGAAGACCTCTTTCTTTGCCTCTACCTCTCTCTCTCCCTCTATAGCTTACCTTTTAAAAAGTGGGTTGAGGGCTGGGGAATTTCTCTTTGCAAAATGTATCTCTCTACTAAGAGGAGTGCTATTTCTAGTGACAGCTCTTTACTACTGAGTTGCTTTTGTCTGCAGAACATACAAACCCGTTTACCATATATTTCTCTACCTCATTTCAAACCCTGTTTCCATTGTCTAACCCAAGATGCTCACATTCATTTCTTCCTGGGGCTGTCATATACATATGTGTATGTAGGTAATTAAAATGTAGGATTTCTCCTCTTCAGTTGTCTTTTATCAATTAAGTTTGTGAGCCCTACAAATACACCTCCAACAGTAGAAGAAATGGCTTGTTTTACCTGTCAGGGATCAAAAGTGTCTCCTCTCTTAAGCATTCTCTTTAACACTGTAAGGTCCCCCAAACTGAAACTCTGCAAGTGGAGCACAGCTTCCCCCATTGAACTCTTCAGTTCACCATTAGGTTTTCATAGACTTCATACAAAAAGAATTAGCTTAAAGTAGGTCACCATCGCTGAGCCACTGTCTTTGAGATGATTTATTTAAGTTTGCAATATTGGTTAATATTTTTCACTAGGAAGAGCTGGATTTTAAATTGCTGATGTTTAAAAGTCAAGGGGCTTTTGTTATTTCTCTATTTTAAAAATGATGAGCAAATTTAATATAGGCAGCACTAAACCTTACTGCTGATCTCTGCATAGAATAGGTGTTTAATGCCTTTGAATGTTAATTAAATTTCAAATGTCTTCACACACACAAAATTATTAGACAGGGAGATAACATGGTAAAGACAGGAGATTTAATAGAAACTCAGCCTCTAGCTCAACTTCATTACAGTGAGCACTGGAATTAAAATTTTTAAGATTCCTTTCTGTAAGTAATTAGCATATACTAGTAACAAAAAGTTTTTAGGGTAACCCAGCAGTTTCTGTGGGTCTCAGAGTTTGTTTTCATTCATGTTTGAGGGTTTTAGTCTCCTTTATTTTAAATTGTGTGAAATATACACTGCAAATCAATAATCGGCACAGAGTGAGAAATGTAGTTCATGATGCCTTGTATTCCATTTATGCCGGATATAGCCTGTAAACGTAGAGCAAAAGTAAATGAAATAAATTGTTTTTAAAATTCTGTGCCATGGCTCATGGATCTCAGGAAAACGTGCAGTATATTTCTTAGTGAAAGGGGAAAATGCAAATTTAGGTGAATATGCAATAAATCTAAGTGTAGGCTGTACCAATCTGGGCAATTCTGACATCCCCAAACCTTCCACAGTGTCAGGCAGACGCATAGTCAGTTCCTTGGAGAAGTACCAAAATCAGCCATGAATGAGTCCATCTGTGATGTGCCACAAAGCCCCACCATGTGGGTATTCCCTCTTGTCATGCTTCTATCCAAGCCCTCATGTCTGCATAGTAAATTTGAAGCTGATAAAGACACTGCAAATTGGCATCTATTTCTCCCCTACCCTCTTCCCTCCTGCCTCCTTTTTAGGGAAGTATATAACTCTGATGCACTCCTTCAGCACACTACACAGAAATGCCTTATTTGGGATAAGGTGTCTCCAGGTTCTGGTTTACAGAATAATTTGGTTGCATTTGATGAGTTCTAATTTGGGCAACCTATATTTCTACACTTAGTTCAATTAAAAGAAAGTCTTTCTACGTGACCTGGAGCAAGTGCCTCTCCATCCTCCTGCACCCTAGGGCTGTGGACCTCTGGTTGTTCCAGACAGCTGTACACCAGAGCACACCTGGGTTGTGCCGGATCACCTCTCTGCTGTTGGCTGTCTCCATAGTACAGCCACACCAACCCTCTGTGCCTCCTAGGCCTTAGAGTCTTGACTTTCTTTTTTTTATTTATTTTATTTATTTTTTTTATTGGAAAGGCATATATACAGAGAGGAGAGACAGAGAGGAAGATCTTCCATCCAATGATTCACTCCCCAAGTGAGCCGCAACGGTCGATGCTATGCCGATCCGAAGCCAGGAGCCTCTTCCGGGTCTCCCAAATGGGTGCAGGGTCCCAAAGCTTTGGGCCGTCCTCGACTGCTTTCCTGGGCCACAGGCAGGGAGCTGGATGGGAAGCGGGGCCGCCGGGATTAGAACCGGTGCCCATATGGGATCCCGGGCGTGCAAGGCGAGGACCTTAACCACTTTTGCCACCACGCCGGGCCCAGAGTCTTGACTTTCAACTTGTCTCTTCTAAAACTGAATTTGAGGGATCACTGCTTTGCATTTCCCCCATTCTGACTTCCTCTTTCTGTATAGGCATTATCAAGTGTTTGTTCTTCTCAAAGTAAAATAAGACTTGGCCATTTAGGTGCCATTGAGACCAAAGCCAGTCTGGTCCCTACAGGCATTTGTGTTTATGGACCAGTAGCAAAGAACTGCAAAGTCATTGAAAGAAGACTCGTTGCCTTTTATGATAAGAGAAGTCTGTCCAAACACACAAACGAAAATAAATCAACTCTGTAGTCTGCTCCCATTAGATACTGGGAATGTATAGTTAGCTAGAGGCTCCTGAAGATGGAAACCATAACAATTATGTATTCATTAAAAATTTGTAAGGAAAACCTCTATTTTGGGCCCAGCAGTGTGGCATAGCTGCTAAAGTCCTTGCCTTGAACATACCAGGATCCCATATGGATGCTAGTTTTAATCCTGGCAGCTCCACTTCCCATCCAGCTACCTGCTTGTGGCCTGGGAAACAGTCAAGGACAGCTCAGAGCTTTGGGATCCTGCACCCGTGTGGGAGACCTGGAGAAAGTTCCTGGCTCCTGGCTTCATATCAGCACAGCACCGGCCATTGTGGTCACTTGGGGAGTGAATCATCAGACAGAAGATCTTCTTCTCTGTCTCCCCTCTTCTCTGTATATCTGACTTGTAATAAAAATGAATAAATCTTTAGAAATAAGAAAGCCTCTATTTTGTATTCTAGTTTTTATTTAAGTTATGTTTAGGCACAATGTTAAATTCAGTAAGATAAGTTGCAAACAAGATAACTTCAGGTAATTGCTGATCAATAACCATAATTCCCCATAGTAGCTAATATCTGAAGCATGGTTACTATTATCTCCTTTAATCTCACAAAAGCTTCTTGAAGTAAATGTTAATGTTATGTGTTTTACAAGGAAAAAAGGGGAGATTAGTAAGAGTAAGAAACAGTTTGTAAATTAGAAAACCAGCTGCAATCCAGGTCTCTCTGGCCCCAATGCAACTGTTTAATATTCTCCACTGCCTCTTTTGTAGATAACTACAGATGTTGCCTACAAAAATGACAGTACGATTTACCATGACAGTAAAGTGGTAGATCAGCATTGTAGCATTGAAATAAGTGTTGCAGTGATTGCTAAGTTGCACAATACTGAACAGGATAGAACAAACTGTGTTAGTGCATCTACTTGATATAAACACTTTGGAAAAGAATTTTATAAATCTGGGGTGATTATCAGTTGTTAAAGTGCTTACCTTTTAAAACTTAAATGGATGTTTTAATTTTTAGTGACTGACTTCTCTTTGAAATGGCATACATGTTTAAGTCGGCCTTCCTGTTTTTCTTTGTTTCTGAATATTTTTCCCAGGGTCAACGTCTTTTTGAAAAGTTGCTGCAATTGACCTCTCAAGATATTGAAATCAAGCTAGTGAGTGATGTGACAGCTGATTCAAAGGTATTAGAAGCCTTGAAATTAAAGGGTAAGGCCAAGGTTGATGTTACTTTATCAATGAGTATTCTGTTAAAGTAGCTTTAATTTCTTTTAAGATAATATATGCTTCCTTTATATTATTACATTATACTTGGTATACTTATTACTGCTTTGAAAATAGTTCCATTATAGCTTTTAAATAAACTAGTTAATTAACACCACAGTGATTTAATAATAAGGTATTGTTACATATTAGTTTTATACAAAGAAGTCTACTGATTAGAAAATTATTAACTAGAAGTTTTTTTTCATTTCCTGAATATCCGAGTGTTGTGATTTGAGTCAAAACCTTGTGCTATCAGAACAGACATTAGATTTCTGGGTTTTTCTTTTTTAAATTTTCCATCAAATGAATTTCTATTTGTGCTACCTATTCTTTGGACTAACATAGGAAAGCCCCTTGAGTCTGTGAAGTGCTGCCTCTTTTATGACTCTTAAGGGAGCCTCCACGAGACTGTCAAGTGCATGGTCACTTTACCATTTGTTTCATAAACTCATCAATACAAAAAAAAGTGAAGCAACTTTGTAATATTTTTATTGATTTATATTCATTTAAAAGACAAAGAGAAAGATGCAGAAACAGAGGGAGGGACGGCAAGGAAGGAGAGGGTAAGAGAGAAATACAGAGACCAAGGCATCTGCTATCCGTAGGTTCACCTCCCAAATGCTCACAATAACCAGGCAAAGGTCAAATTGAAACCAATGGCTGGCAGTTCCCATGTGTGGCAGGAACCCAAGTATCTGGGCTATCGTCTTCTGCCTGGCCAGGGTACACATCAGTAGGATCAGAGGTGGAATCTAGATTGAAAGCCAAGCACTTGGACATGAAATATAGGCATCTTTGCAGGACCTTAACTGCTGTCCCAAATGGTCATCCATGAAGTAAGTTATTTTGTTATAATCCTCTCCAACTGAACTGAATTGTTCACTCCCCAGTAGTTTTGATTGCTTTGTATAGATGTTTGCCTGGAATTGACTATCTGACTGGAAGGCTCAAAAAAAATAAGCATGTGGGATCCAGTGAACTGGAGAAGCTTGAGGGGAAGAGTGTCTTCACACAGGTGTCAGTGAGCCTTGGCATTTCACCTGATGACTGCATCTCACATTTGTGCTGTTCAAATGTGCTATGCCTTCTTCTGCTCATCTTGCCTGCATTTGTTAAGTAACAGTAGCCTCTGTAAGATAAGACAAACAAGAAAGCATGTAGATCAGTCCAAATAGCTTTTCCTACTCAGGAAAAATAAGTGGAAAGTGACAAAGTGCAGACAAAGACATAACCAAGTAGAGGACATAATCTTGCCACATACTTGCCCATTATCACACAGGGTATGATCTTTAAGACACAGGGAAGTCAAGAGAACTTCGAAACCATTACTGGGTCTGAAAGCTATTACAATATAGTCCTTTTTGAAAAACTAGAAATTGCTTACTTCAGTGGATTGTTAGATACAATCAGTGTACATTAGATATAGATGTCTATATTGTCATTTCAAACAATCTGAAATTGGTTTCCCACTCTCTGATAATCCATTATCCAACATATTTTTAGAATTGGTTACTTTTGGTTAATGAAGGATGCCTGTGTTTGCAAATTATTTGTCTCATGGAATCAATTTATATCTGCTTTGAGTTTTATTATCCTGCCAGGATGAAAAACAGATGATTTTAAAAAGAAAACAGGGTACCTGAGAATTATAGTACGTACTGACTATGTGTCTGCTGGCCATAGCCTTGTAAACTCAACCAAACTTTAAAGCTACAGAGTATTAAAGGACATAATAGACTTTAATAGGTGTTGCTGTATATTTGTTATTCTAAAAAGATAATACACTCTAGCTTTGAAGCTTGTGGGTAAAAGTCTGACTTTAATTTCTATTATGTATAGTGAATTAAAACTTTATTTTAGTCACTGCTTTTCACAGAGAGGGAGATATTTATATTTCTAAGCGCGCACACACACACACACACACACACACACACGTGTATATACTGCTACTCCTTCATCAGTTGATAATAAATAGTTTTTATTAAAGTGAGAAAACAAGTGGTTTTTTTTCTTTCCCATAGTAATAGGACTCTCATTTCTCATAACCATTTTCTGCTATTTCCTGCGTATTTATAGTAGGCTCATCAGATATTTCATAATATACATAAGATGTACTAGATACACAGCATATATACATTTTTTAAATACAAATACTGTATTTCTCTACTCTCATCCTTGGAATAAATTTATTAAATGCTAACAGTGCATGTTAGAAATAATATGACAGTATTTTTAAGTCTGTGCTTCAATACCTGGCTTAAGGGAAATAATTTAATTTCTTTAAAGAGAATTCTAGTTTTTTACTAATATTTCAGACAGTTTAAAAATAACCCACAGAAAATAGGTAATTGTCAAATTGGCCATGAGGTTTTAGCTGTGAGACAATTACTGGATGTTGAAGCTAATGAAATATACTGTGAAAAATGATAAAAGTGATGCCTCCCAGTAGTTGATAGGATTTTAAAGATTTATTTATTTGAAAGAGGGAATTACAGAGAGATGCGAATGGGAAAGCAAGAGAGACAGAGAGAGAGAGAAAGAGAGAGAGAGAGAGAGACAGAAATATCTTCAATCTGCTGGCTCACTACCCAAATGGCCACAATGGCAGGAACCAATCCAAAGCCGGAAGTTGTTCTGGGTCTCTAAAGTGAGTCCTTGGTGCCCATTCTGAGAGTTGGACCTTCATATTTTAAATCTCAATATTTTGTTACAAAACTACTTAAATTTTTGTTAGAGCTGCATTCACTCTATAGGTAAACATCAGCAGTATTGATTCTTTCAGTTCTTTAAGTGAAAAACTACAATAATCCCTCTTAGCACTGCTTTAGCTGCATCTCACCTTGTTAATAAGACCTAAATTTCTAAGTTGTTTCTTATTACAAGAAAAAATTCTTACTTCTCTAGCAATTTCTAGTTTGGACCATGAGCTATTTAGAATTGTAATCCTTGATTTCCCAACATTTGGATGATTGTTCCATTTGTGTGTGTGTGTGTGTGTGTGTGTGTGTGTGTGTGTGTGTGTGTGTATTAATTTTACTTTAGTCCCAAATATATTCTGTATGATTTTAGCCATTTGAAATTTGTAGAAAATCACTTTGTGAAATTAGCCTGTAGAAATGATTTGCTTTATAGATCTGAAGACTTCTTAATGGCCTTTCTGCAGCTTTTCATTTTTTTACTTTTGCATTTGTCATCTCTTGCAGTAGTCTCATCCAGAGAGTTAGTGTAAAAGCCTCCTCATTAGAGATAACAGTGGAGATAATGAAGTGAGCTTACCTTGGTTCATACATTGTCTTGAGAGGTAAACCTCCAAGTGAAGCTGAATAACATCTCAGGTGGTGGTTGGAATCCTGTGCTTCCTTCTTCCCATCTGCTGCCACCATTTGGCTTGCTAAGAGTAATGGTGACAGTTCTTTTAAGTTGTGTTCTCCTGTTCACGCCTCCCGGTAAATGCCTTTGATACCTCACTTCTCACCAAACCTGGCACTGGTGACATCACAGCAGTATTGCTGAATATATTATGTTACTAATAATGTTTTAAATTTCTGGCTATAAATTTTCATGTTCTTGAAATATTATTTGTCAACAATACCTGTGTCCTTTTTGTCCTTATATTTGTATAATTAAGAGTTATTTTGTCAACTGCTCTGTTAAGGTGCATTCTCTGCGGGTGAGTGCAAGAACCAAGGCAGGGAGCAACCCAGATCAGGCCAGGTTACAGTACCCACTGGTATACATGTGGATCAACTCTGGGGTTGGGCCACCCACTTTCCCCTAACCTCTGTCCTTCCCATCCTGATCAGCTATACAAACACCATAAAAAAATGTTAAAATTAAAATAAAAAAATAAATAAAGTGAGAAAGCCTGGAGGAATGTAAGACAAAGAAAAAAGTGTTTTGTCTATAAAACCATAGCAATTCCATGCATTTTTTGGAATATGACCATGATATTTAAAGTCCATATTTCCTAGCAAAAGATTAAAAATAAAATAATGTAAAATCAGAAAATGTGTTTCTATTTGGGAAAAAACAGGCTTTTATTTATTCATGTCTGGACAATAACCTAATTTAATGAATGATGAAATAAAATTATAAAAAATTTAGAGTTAGTGGCCTGGATATTATGACTACATTAGAAACGTTTGGGTTCTAACATCTTCCCTTTCACTCTGATATACACTATTTACTGTTAGTGATGTTCTAAATAGTTGAAAGTTAGTTGTGATTTCCTAAATGTAACACTCTTTTTTCTGGCTCTGAGTCTGAGAATATACTTTTTTCCGTTCTTGAAGTCCTCTGCCTCCTCCTGTCAATTTGAGAACATCTTTCCATCCTTTAGGGTCTGCGTTTACCCCTTCCCCATAGTTTATGCCTTGCAGCATTTATTGTGTTTGCAAGTGTGGTCTTGTCATCTTCTTTCCCTCCATTGGTCATTATTTTTCATTCCATAAGGAGTCCTTGAACATCTGTGCTGTATCAGCTTCAGAGAGAAAGTGGAGTAGAACATGAGCCCTCACCCAACTACAGAGCTCACAGTGTGCTAGAGAGAAACGGTAAGCTGGCATAAACTGAGGAATGCCTGAAGCATCTACTGAGGTCTAGCTTTTCTGAGTCACCTTTTTCATCGGTGATTGACACTCATCCACTTGACACTTCTGACGGTTTTACGAAGCACAATACTCCTCTATTCTCTCCTTTCCTTTAAACAAAATTTAATTTTTTAGGCTTACTGGAAAATGTCAAAGGAAGCTTTTCAAACAGGATCTTGCTCTTATACACCTGTCTCAAGATCCTTACATGATCTTCTGACTGAACATTAAGCTGTGAGAGTCCTGACATGTGCCCGAAATCACCAGGCAGTAATTGGCTCGACTTGTCTCCAGGTCTAGAGCACTCATACTGTTCAGTGTTGAAATGTAAATCCTGCAGGTTTGGGGATCAAT